TGGGAAAGCCGGAAATGTATATGGTAGGGTAGAATTGAGGGTAGTGGGTAGAGGTGGAAAGAGACGGGGTAGGAAAGGACAGGTTGGAGCATGTTAGGCAAGGTATAGGGTAGGGTAGGTATGTGGGTAGTGGAGTGAAGTTGAAAGTGAGGGTAGGTGAGATACGTTGGAACAGGTTGGGAAAGGTATAGGGTAGGCTAGGATTGAGGGTAGTGGGGTGAAGTGGAAAGAGAGGGTAGGTAAGGACACGTTTGAACAGGTCAAGCAGGGTATAGGGTTAAGGGTAGTGGGGTGAGATGGAAAGAGAAGGTAGGATAATTTACACATTGGAACAAGTCGATCAAGATGTAGGGTAGGGTAGGATTGAGGGTATGGGGCGAGGTTGAAAGATAGGGTATAGGATAAAGGACACAAATTGGAACAGGTCAGGCAAGGTATACGGGGTAGAGTAAGATTGAGGAAGTGAGCGTAGAAAGAGAGGGTAGGATTAAGGACACGGTCGGGTCGGGCAGGGTAGGGTTGGGAGGGGCAGGGTTTGGTAGAGCTGGGTAAAGTCTAATTGACTATCATAAAATCAAATGACAAATATGTTAGTAAGCTTCTAAGCTTCTAAGCTCAAACATTTGCTAAGCAAAGAGGGCATTCGTTCAGCTATATTTGGTTACCAGCACATACATTATGCTTAGCGATATCTTCTGCTGAGAGGCTCCATAAAATTGGGCCCTGGCAAATTCTAAAGAAAAAATAATATAACCAGACGAACAAGAAGCGTTCGCCATCCTCGATGTACATCATAGCTACCACAATTCCCTCGTGTCAGTCAGCGGCTCTTGAGACGGTTTTACGTGGGGCACTGTCACTCTGGCGTTGACCACTGTGATGAATTCGCAATCAAATTGTAACCATATACTCTAAAAATATGACCCTTCGGTATAATCAAGAAGTGTTGGGTTTATCATGATTGCTCTGGTTCGGTCATCAGTGGCGATCCGAGGCGGTGGCCATGCAATCTCCCATCTCCATCCAATCAGTGTTACGACTGAAGGAGTACACCTGCAAAACACTTGTATTTGATATCGATTGTCTTGTCTGCATGCGATACCTTCGCATACCTGTTTCATGTGAACGATGGGGATTTGTAAATATGGGTACTTGCCGTTTTCCTTCTTATATCTTATGAACGCTTGTGGCGCTTGTTATGATGCCGTTAGCAAAGTTGAGTTGTGGCATTCCTACTTGATTGACCATTTGTAAAGAAAAGGATTTGTAAGGACAACAGGAGCGACAAAACTGCCTATAGGCCTAGACGATGCATGGTTCATGATAACATGTAAATTGTTGCATCAGATGGAATCTTTCTGGCTTTCAAAATCTCACGAGTATTTCCAATTTCTAATATTTGTAGGGTACATTGGGGAGGGGGCTCGGCGCCTAGATTGTTGTCCCTTAAAACATAGATATCAAAAGTGGTCCGTTTTTTAGGAGATAAAAAGAATAAAATCGCTTTATCGAATGTGTCGTACGTTTTCCTAAACAAATTCGGTGAACCTCAGCTGGACCCGCGTCAAAGATCCATCCACGTAGGCCTATATCGTTAAGGCAAGATGATTAAATAGAAGTCATTAAACAACCATATAAGAAAACCAACGGTTTATAACGGAATGATGTATTGCAAATATTGCTATAGAATTAGGTTTATTAATGTAATCCTAAAATAAATATCGCCCCTGCATTTAGATTGTTAGCAAAGTATGATGCAATGATGGCGAGGAACGTGATAGTAGTTGCAACGGTGCTTTCATAAAGCCTACGTTCAAAGCACGTTTGATCCTCGAAATGTTGCACGAATGACCGCTAATAACATCGTAAAGAAATCTAATTCTTCCCCAAATGTTGACTGCTTCAGCTACCCCTCGGTGCCATTTTAGAATGATAATAATATTTCACCAACAATATAGAAAAGATTTCAGGCGAGAATCTCTCAGGAAAAACCTAGATTGGTGAAAAAACTGCGCAGCGCCGAATTCTCACGCGATTACTGCTTAACAAGGTTAGGGGGTTGTACCCGCCCGGCGAGATTTCAATTACACTATACAGCCGGCCACTTGCTCACACTGGTCTGGCAACCGACTCGATGCGAGTGTACCACATTGTCAACGACGATGCACCTATTGGGAAACACTGTCCAGGGGCCAGACGTTCGAAGACCGATAATTTTTCGTTGAGAATCTTGGTTTACTTGCATTGACGTAGGCCTATAATAGTGAAAAAAAGTATTTATTTTTTGTTGTGAAGAAGAAGCTGCGAGTTATTCATGCACAAAGTTCTGAGATAGTAAATTGTTCATATTTCCCTCAAGCATTAATTGTAAGAATTCTGCTCCAATAATCGCAAGTTCAACTGTGTCGGAGACAAGATTCTTCGTGTACTGTGCATAGCTGGGAAAAAGTATGTTGTGAGAATGTCTGAATATATATTCAATCTAATAAATGTTGCTGCTTGAAGATAGTGTCATAACTGTCATTGGAAAACAATGAAACGATTGTTTATAATGGTGCAGTGACATTTTCACTGGGCACATTGTTAAACCATACCTTATTCATATATGGAATGTGATAAGGAAACACTTTGAGCTAAGTGGGAGATGTTCACTCATGTCAACTGATGAGCAGGAGACCTCACGATCATACCTTTGTGACTTGTGTTCCTTTGTGGAGTTGCCTAGGTGCCGGTATTCAATATGGCAGACATTGGCGTCAAAATGTCGTATATTCCTCACAGCGGAGAATGTATCTAATAGATTGCTGAAAAACAAAATTGGTAACGTGATTACGTCAAGCACCTCGCATGTGCATGTTGCCTAATTTTTGCAAAAGGCTGGGCACAATATCGCCCATAACTTGCCTTGGGTTTTCAGGAATGTTGAGATTTGTTGTTACGGTTCGCCATTGATTAATGTGATTCCGAAGCCGATACAGAGACGCTTCGACATCGTGAAGTTAATAATCCCTAATAGGCGAACCGAAGGATACAGATGGGAGACATTTACAGCTGTAACTGGCGACAGCTGATTACAGACAGACAATCAAAGTTCTTGAGTACTTTCGTCAAATCAAGCGTGAAATCTAACTCTGAAATAAACCAATTAGTATACATGTGCTGCGATGTGACACCTCACTATAGGCCCATGCTTCCGGGATTAAATTGGATAATGACCTAGAACACCACCCTGTATTTTCTGTCAGAAACTTCAAATCAAAAACAGTATAAAGAAAAAAAGGAGCAAACAAACAAATTGTAGGACATATAAATGTCATGCAGTGTGGTCACACCTCTCAGTTGTGCAGTGACTGTACCAATATTCACATTATAGGTTTGCGGAGTGTTGACGAATCCATCACAAGTTATCCACTTAAAAAGTCAAGTCACAAAGTTTTCAGGATAGTCACTGTGACAAATACCGATCCACTGTTGGTTGTAACCTGTGATTTACTAAGTTACTATAACACTTGATATTTTGTTCTTAACCATACAGGTCGTTTTATTGGTACTTGTTTCCGCCTTCCAATCCCATTTCCTTGGTTCGTCCGCCGCGATGGCCAGTGTTTAATGTGTTTCTTATCAAAACCATGCTGTTTGACTTTTACATACACTTTGATTCCCAGGTTTTTTCCCTCCCATTTATAAAAACTGAAATCTTCCTTCTCTTTTAATTGAAGGCTCAGACGTACATTGCTGAACTTTGTGCTCAGTATACAGAAGATATAAATAACAAATGAATAAATAGAAATAATAAATTACAGACCCTGCCACTAACGATCGTTAAAGTGCCGTGGGCTCATTTGTTATCCATGGTTTCCTAAACAAAAAAAAGCTGGCTGGGTTTTAAGTGCATCTCCCATGACTTGGCAAGTGTTTCGCGTACAGGCCGTTTGATACTCCGCTGTCATATTATGATGAATGGCGATTGTTTGTGCAGTCGTGCGCGTTTATTCCGTCGTGCGTGGATGAGTAGCACTTTGGAATCATGAATGTATGCTTTTAGACCCTCAGAACCGGTTGAAGTCACGGTCTAGGGGCGGGAAGGTAAGTAAACGGGAGTAGAGCCATCAACCCTTGTTTCAGTACACACAAAAAAAATGTTTCATAATGCTGCCTTATTCAAAAGCAGGCACTTTACCGGAGTCCTTTCAAAATTGAGAGAATGCATGTATATGTAATTGAATTGTAGTTTTAGCAAGGTTGGAGGCAGGAGATATAAAGGCCGCGAAGAACTGAATGACACGCTCCCGAACAAGCAGGAATCAATGTGTAGCCTAGTATGCATTGTGATTCGGTTGGAAAAAAGAGTGCCGACTAGAAGTACAGCCAAAAGTACAAAATGACCTCTCTGTTTTAATTTCATCTTTTCACGATGTATAAAATGAAGTGGAACTTGTAAAGGTCGAATTTAGATGCATGTAGGCCTACCTTAAAAAATAAAATTTAGCACCGAATTGTTTACCCCTTCGGGAGCTGGAGGGATATAGAATGCAAGCTCTAACTCATTGTTTTGAGGTCCAATCAATCTTGAAACCGACTTCCTGTTGTCCCCCATTCTGAGACAAGAATAATGCTGAACATACAGACTGCAGGTTTATATTGAAAACCGTCATTCAGTTCAGCAAGACCCCAATGTACCCAAAGACATTTATGGAACAGACCGCCCACAACCCATTTCGTATGCAAACATGGCACGAGCTCTTTTCGTCTGCTCGATCGTGCATGACTTTTCTCCTTTCCAGTATCTCCCTTCTGATAAGGTGCTTACATTATTAGACTGCAGATTTCAGCAGTCACCGGCGTTTATCAGTGTTACAATGTACAGCCGCCCTTCGAGTCCCTACCAATGACCGTGAATACACGTAAGGACAAATCGTTGCTCCCTCGTCCTAATTAATGGTCAACCAGATATATTGTGGGGGCGCTCTAGATAGTCACTCAGCGGTGAAATCGGCTCAGACTCGCCGCGCAGTCGGCTCACAGCGTGCTCGACGTGAAACAGCTGGGATGCCCGCACACACCGCGCCGTTGATGAACTACGTACGGTTTGTCTATGGAGTGCTGCAGTAGATGTGAGCTGCGTTGAAAAGCGTACCAAACCGATAACCGCATTGCACGCAGCATGCTCAATTGGCCACACTGTGTCCGTGACGGCGATGTTAATACCCGCATTTGCTGCCCTCCTTGAGTACGGGGAACCTTTTGGGATTGTTAAACCGGACAAACTCTCACGAAAAATGCTCTGAGGCTGAGATTCATTGAAATTCTCGATTCGAAGACTTCATTCCTGTGGAGATACAGAACTTCAAGCCTATGGATTGTCAAAAAGGTAAGCAACCTCTTTTCCCCTCTCTGTATATTTCATTGAGCGTTGATAACGACCTGAGAGTCGTGGAAATTGGTTCTTGTGCGAGGAATGTTCGCGCTCAATGAGGCACAACCAATCTTGGAGATGATCAATCAATGACCTTGCGCTCTCCGCGGTGCTATTACGATGGCGAAAGTTGACCGGGAACTCTCTTCTTTCGTCCCCCTTCACGGACGGGGCCTCGTATTTTCATAAATAAAGAAACGCTTCTGGGACGGAACCTACTTATGGGTGATATATTGTCTGGCTTTCGTAATTATTTGTAACTGCTGTGACGCAACTGGGGCAATCTACATCGAAATGAGGGAAGGATCTATATCACATGGCTAGTTTTACCATGGTTTTCATTTGCCAGCATCACCTGTGTGATATTCGCAAGGCTACACCATCTCTAGGTGTGATCAGGCAGAAAATCTAACCCTGTCTCTTGAATGAAGGGGGGAATTCGGACCTGCTTCAGAAATGCAATCAAACCATGGCACTTACTCGGGATTACCGCGCACTTAAAGGATATCATATGCGGAGGATATTACATCTCTGGCGCTACCCGTAGCTGCCGACACTCTAAAGCCCAGAGATTTATTGGCTATGTTTCTCCTACAGCCGGGCATGTTTTACTTACAGGTAGGAGAAATCATGTCAATATTTTCTCACCTCTACTGATTAGTGCACTTCAGTAATGCCATGAACCCTGCATGTATATGTACGCGAGTTGGCAAGAACTCAATAGTCTCCGTTAATATTGAATTTAACAAAAAAAAATCGTCTTGAGTTTGATCGCGGTATAGTGTACGTATCGTAAAGCGCTGGAGAAATCATGAAATTTATTAAAAGGGAACGTGTAGTGAGAAGGAATGAGAGGACCGACAGCTTCGTAAACATTCGGGCCTTTGTCATGAGTAGCCTTAGGCGTTACATGTACCGGTGCCATTCTTCAGAGGAAAATCCTAGGCGCCACAAAAGGCTAAATAAAAAGAAAGAAAGAAGAATAAATACATATAGATACCAAATGACATTAATGGTAAACAATAAGGAGAAGACAAATGTTCTCATGGTACGGTCTATCAAACAATTACGGATCATGAAAAAAAACATGAAGTCAGCAAGCAGGCATAGGACTAGACATTAAAAAAAGACGTCAGTCTAAAGTAAAAGACATTTGCAGGGTAAAATGCAAATAGCGAAGACGTCTATAAATTAAGGGACAGACACTACGTGCAGTTGGGGACAGTATTGCCGGAATAATTAGAAGAAAGTGATAAAACACTGGGGGATGCGGTGTCAATTAACAAAAGGTTATACATGGACTGTATTGGTTAATATAGATGTACTAACCATGATAGATAAAGATCATACTTCAGTGTATAAAAGGCTATGCACACCTGCAATATGAAGGGTGAAGACTTAGATTAGAATAATGAAACAAGAAATGTTGCCATAAGAAAGAGGATTTGCAGAGGAATTTACGATAATATCCTAAATGGCCTTAAGATTGTAAACAGGAAACGGATAGTGTGTGATGTAAACAACCCGGCCAAATATTAAGGTCGGCACGACGCGATTCATGTTCTATTCCCACTTGACCACATCACCTACGGTCTCCCCTCGATTGTTATGAATTGACGGCAGATCTTTCCCCCTTCACAAGAACAGAATCGGGTAGCTCCCAACGGAGCCTTGCACGTTATACCGGAGACCCGCCCGAGGGTACGTGAAACACGAGAGAAGTATGGACCAGCCAGCTCCGTTGGGATCGTTTATGAAGAGAAGAGGGAAAATATATAGCCCGGGTGTGGTTGAAATAGCGAGGCACCGGGTAGTCTCTGCGAGAGAGTTGGGAGGAGATAATAAACCCGGCAGCCTCGGCAGAAACCCGGCAAGGTTAGGCTCCTGTGGCTCTGCCGATGATCCAAGGTTGAAAGATGATAAGTCCTCAGGTTCCGCGGGTATCCCCCCTTTTTTGTCCACCCCCCTTCACCATCGGTCAGAATTGATTGTCTACGATTTGCTTGGGTAATAGCCCGCCGTACACGCCGTCACATCGCATTATTCGCTTGTCAAATCAAAGATGACGCGGTTGAGGAAGTCGGTGCTCATTATCCGATGTCGATCCGGATTCTCGAGAAAAACCGATGGATTAAAAGCAACCCACGTTGCTTCGTTTCGTCTCTCGCTCATCCTCGCTGGATGGAGCAACTCGATCGCGGGGAATTAAACGCTCACAGTAGGGAGCGCGCGTGAAACACGCGCTTCGCCCAGTAATTACACTTGTCGTAATGTCGTTCTCTCATTAGTGTATTGTCACTATGCATTTAATGGAACTGCAGGCGCTGACGGGCGAAGGATGGGAATTAAAAACTCATTTGTCTCAATTTATTTTGGAAGTAAAGCCACACAATCCGCTATGGGTGGTGGGAGTTATTTGCTCATAATGTGCTCGGTTTGTGTTATTTTCCTGGCATGCTGTGACCAAAACATGTCTTTCATTTCCACACGGACGGTTAAAGCATTCCATTCCATTGCTTTAATTTAAAATCCTCTGGAGTTCCTTTAAAATAAAATAATGCAACGTTTCTTCGTCATATAGCACCTATAATAATACAATTTTTTATAAAGATACATGTTTTCCTGAAATGCATTATGTGCTGCAAGAAGGAAAGGATATGGCCCTATCACAACCATCAACAACAGAATATAATCACCATGAAATGATCATTAATTCAACATCATAAGTACGTTTTAATTTGTTTTTCTATTTGTCGTTTTATTTTATCAATTGTGAAATTAGTTACCAGTTGTCAAAAATATTTATCACTTGAGGCCTTTGGTTACATCACTAACCACGGAGAGTTGTACGATGCATACAACTATAAAATTCGTATAAGAACAGATAGAAACAGGTACAGAAATGTTATTCCCAATTCAGATAAAGCACTTGCTATAAATTGAAACACCCATGTGCGACGATGAGCACCACGAATCATGACATGCTCACGGGACTGTCAAGTCTTATTCTCAAGACATGATTTGCTTATTACACAATCAAGGACATCTTCAGATCCTCGCCACCTCAGAACTCCAAGACATAAATTATGAACACCATGCTTTCTTATGACCGTATAGAGGCATTTTCATTGTCCAGCCGGACGCAAACGGTCAATTACCGGCGAAAGATGTGAAAGGAATATAAAATGATGTGGTTAGATGAATAAATTATGTGATTGAATACGTGACATTTTGTCACTTTCAAAAGTCCAAGTTTATATTTTTGCTGCAAGAATGACATATTCGAATGATAAGATGTTCAGTTTTTCCTCCAAAGAAAATAGTATCAGTCCGTGTGGTAGAAATCATTGAGGCAATTGGAAAGATCAGCTGTAGTTAAGAAAACGTTAAATGCAGTTGTTGAAATATGTTCAGTTGTCTGTCATGATTGAACAAAATATCTCACCAGAATAGCCCCGAAACTCAATGACGTCACGCTTTGTTTGCATATACGCTTGCCCTCTTCCCCACAGTGGCCTCCCATAAGAAAGCGAACATGTAAACAAAGCGTGACGTCATTATGTCACAGGGCTATTGGTTTCAAGGCATCCTTCTCTAAAAAGACAAACTATGTAATTGTAACCATCACTGTATTTTATGCTAAATTTTCTCGTACATTTACTGTAAAAACAAAATAAAAACGTTCCTAAGTTGTTTTGTCATTTCGAACGCAAAACTTTGGACTTTTTGGTACAGTCACAGGTAAAATGAAAGCCTTATCCCAAGTTTCACTCGATTATTGTGCTATTCAATAATGCAACCTACTGTAAACACTTCGTTGGAAAATATGCCCCAATATTTATATAACAGATGATCCGGGGATCGAGTTCGAGCCAGGCATTTAAACGGACACCATTGAGGAAGCGGCGGGCACCAGACTAACATTTAACGTGGCATTTATACATGCTGCAAATCTCCCGGGCCGCACAATACGAGTGGGGCCGGTTATATACGCGCGCGCACTAAAGAAAAACACAAGAGCAATGGGCAAATCCGGAACTATCGCACTGGAAAATATAGGGGCCTCCGGGTGTTAACTCTGCACTTGATCTTAGCTCCGGACTATTTTTCATTAATAACTCTCCCCCTCCCTCAACTGGATTCCGAGGCTTTAATGCTCAGTTTATTCATATGTAGGGGCCGGGACATTAAATCATGCCAATCGTATACAGAGCCATTGCCTCATCGTGGATGACGTGTGCGTGTATGTTGGGCTATACATGTATAGCTGATGGACCTGAGAGCTGTTTAAGCCGCCAACACGGACGTTTGATAAATCACTCGTTAATTATCCACGATTCTTGCCAGGCTGTTTAGCGTTCTATTTAATTAGGATATAAATTCACAACTAGGGGTTTGATTGATGGCTCCTCAGTTCGAATGTTTTGAGTTATGATGTTCTTAACCACGGCATCGTTCTCGGTCCTTTGAATGATGAACACTGTTGAAACATTCAACTTTGCTCTATGTGTGCATTGATTGACAAAGATGTTTTTCCCCATCGTTTATTAAGTTGTATGCACATCACCAGAACAATTTGAATCTGAAATTGTACGCTAAATTTGCTTCACCTAGTCGTTTGTAACTTTCCTGTGTATTTGGTACTTAGGTACATGGAATCATTGAGAAAAACCATTATGACGGAAGAAGGTGGAGGAAGAAGGGCCAAGTTCTTTCACTATCGACCTAAGGAGTCAGTTTTGCGTTGTAGTTCTTCCCTCTACGTCCATCTGGACTTAGAATCCCACCCATAGGCCTACTGCGCAAGCTTGGTTGGTTAGGTTGTCCACAGTCCCTACCGTATACCGTGGGATTTCCCGAAAATATATCACACTGAGGCTTTCCTGCCACCTCTTCAACAGAGCATTGCTTGATTGCACTCGCCCTTATTATAAAAAAGGTTGTTGAGTAAAAAT